TGCAAAACATGTGAAACAAAATATTGTACTTGGGGGTACACCATATCCTCGACATGCCCACCGTTTCGGTTAGAACCGGACCCGTACTGGGTCAACGATTTTAGAACCGTTTACGGGACCCGGTTTAACCGGAACCGAGAAAATTGGTTCGGTTCCGGTTCCTATATATATATATATATATATATATATATATATATATATATATATATATATATATATATATATATATATATATATATATATATATATATATATATATATATATATATATATATATATATATATATATATATATATATAAATATATATATATATAAATGAAAAATTATTATTAAGAACCGGATGGTTCTACTGGTTCTAACCGAGAACCGAACCGGAACCTAACCGCAAGGAACCGGATATTTTCGATTCGGTTCCGGTTCCTCCAAAATCGGAACCGGAACCGGAACCGAACCGAACCGTGGCCAAGTCTACCATATCCCATCATGCCTAGTGATGCAAACCAAAAGGGCCCCTAGTGTCTATTTACGTTAAGTTGGGAAACAAATCCCATTAATAACGTTGATTGAGGTGAGTACGTGTAAGAGAGGCGATTGCCAAAAAATAAACAAAAATTGCAAACAAAAAATCGAATCTGAGACAGCAAATAGTTCAGTAAAAGAAAAAAGCACCAAACGAATCCCAAACACGAAACGAGTCAAATCCCAAACACCAAACATAAATCACAAAAAACAAAAACATCGAATCCCAAACACCAAACAAATCGATTTTTCAACAACACCCCTAATACAAACAAAAAGTTCTAACAAAATTCGAATCCCAAACAAAAATTGCAAACAAGCGATCGAGAATAACCCAAACTGCAAACGATGGAGAATGGTTTGGTAAAGAAGATTTGGTGGAGAATTACCCAAACTAAAAAAATTGCGAACAAGCGGTGGATTACCACGATCGAAATTGCTTCAAGGTTTGGCAGATATGGCGGTCTCCATTGTTTTATAAAGAAGATTCCGTAAAAAATGATTTGATTTTACGTAACAGGTGAGAAAGAGACAGTAATTATCGTAATTTTTAGGGAGAAAATTGTGGGGTTATTAATATAGATATTTTTATTTCCATTATTATTGGGGGTATTGTGACAAATCAAAATTAATAGATACAGTAAAATGTCTATAAATTAATAATGTTGTGACTAGGATATTTTATTAATTTAGCGAGATATTATTATATCGATAAATTAATAATTTATTAATTTAAAGAGGATTTACGTATGATCTTTAAATTTCCAAGTCCAATGTACTAGTTAGCAGACACATTCTATGAATGTACATGTACAAATTAATTGAATTTGTCAAGTTCATTATTTTTTAATAGGTAAAAGGTTAGTTCGTGGTACCAAAAAGTTGCTACATGGCGTTCCAACGCAGTATAACTCTTCACAATTTTTTGTTTCAATACGAGAAGACAATGCCCCAAGGTTTAAGTGCAATGAGGAGATTTAAAGATTAACTAAATATAGATTTGAAGTTAAAAAAAAAAAACAAGTAACTATAAATTCATTTTTTACTAGAAAATCTTAGAATTCAGAATTTTTTAGTAATTATTAATTTATAGTTTTGTTGGCACCTCGTTATGGAGTAGGAAATTTTCTAGTGTTTAGAGATATTTTTGCAAGACGAGTAACGTGGAAGGTCGCGAAGCCTGCAAGGGTAGTTGTTTTTAAGAGACTTTTGTATGAGTAAGAGGCGGATGCTAACTTAGACAATTTTGAGGTAGGTGGGTGTATACCTTAAGCGTAGAACCTTTTGAGGTTCCCTATGTTCCAGGTTCTGGGTATAGGGTGTCCGTCAAGGTTCTCGAGGCGATATGGTCTAGTGTTGACCACTTGTGTTATTTTATATGGTCCCTCCCACTTGGGGTCGAGTTTACCGATGGGGCGCGAGGCTTCAGATTTTCGGAGGACTAAGTCTCCCACTTGGAAAGATCGAGGACGAACCTTAGAGTTATAGGCCTTGACCATGCGTGTTTTGTACATCTTTTGTCGGACACATGCAATCTCTCGTAGCTCATCTACAAGGTCTAGGCTTCCTTGCATAGCTTCTTCGTTCGCTTCGGGTTTATAGTGGAGATCATGACTAACATGGGGTTTACGATTGAGAATAAATGCACCACATTAAGTGTCGTTTGTTAGAAGCTTGTATATTATTGATATGAAAATTAAGGACATAATTATTATTCATTAGAAGAAGTTGATTTATCTCATATTTGCTGACTTTTGCAGGTTTGTGTGTGGACTAATTAAGGTGTATAGATTATCTTGTCCCTTGCTATCACCAGAGAGGCAACTCATGAACATACATTCCTACGTAATAACGGTTATAGTCTATTATAATTTGATGCAGTGCATTTATTTATGAATTATTTTAATTGCACTAAATTGGATATTTGATTGTCTCCTTAATAGGTTAATGGGTTTTCCATGGAAGAAGAGTAACAAGGAAATCCATCTTCGAACTGATAGTTTGACGCAAGTTAAAATGTTTCCTAACGATTGTGTTTTCGGATAGTGAACTTTGGATAGTTGTTTTGCTATTGTCAGTTGTTTAAAAAATTACGAAATGATATTCATATTGTAAGTTTTT